AGGCCAGCCTGGGCTACAAAGTGAGCTCAAGGTCAGCCTGAACTGCGTAGCGAGACCCTGTCTCAAAAAAAGACAAAAAAAGACCAAAAAAAAAAAAAAAAAAAAGAGAGAAGCTCAAATGGCAGCTCTGACACTTACTAGTTGTGTGACGCTAACTTAAGGCACTACACCTTTCAAAAACCCGACCTCTGCCTCTCTATACTGGAAATAACGGGATCTCCCTCATCAGCTGCAATGAGCTTCAGTGAGGTAATGCTTGGCACAGAATCAGTGCTGTACTATGCTTTAATAAAACATCATATGCCTAATTCTCTTGTCTCTGAAACCCAAGGACAGGTGACAGTACACAGACTTTGTATGAGAGAAGTCACTAAGTAGCACTACCAAAAAGAAATCCAGGTTCCAGCCAAAGCCTTGATATGCCGGGGATATATCCAGACAAAGGTCTACAACAAGTGGCAAACCCAGTGATGATCAGAGCAGCCCTTTCAGATGCACATGCTCATAAAGATCACCTGGAGATCTAGGTATAGTGCAGCGTTTCATTCAGCAAGTGGGCGTTCCCACGATGTCCCCAGGTGAGACACGTGCTGCTGGGGTATGGACCCCACTTTCAGTAGCAAGGAGTCAGGACACAAGCATGAAGAAAGATCACCATCTCATGATGCTGCTGGATAGCAGACGAGAGGAAGGGAATGAAGAGGAGTCGCAAGGGACTCTTGCTGGGCCGTCAGAAGCTGGCATGGCTCATTTGTGTTTTCTGGGAAGGCTCCTTTCCTTGGCATCGCCCGCTTCCAGTGGCAGGAATGAGCCGTTGAAGCCCATGGGTGTGCCCGTGTACTGTGAGTTCCTCCAGGCACAGGCCTTCTCTTGGGCTGCCCACGACTCCTGTCCTCAGAAAGCCCATGTGTCAGGCTGCTGGCTACACAGCTCAGCGAGCAGATGCAGTTAAAAACTGAAGCCAACTTGCATTCTCCATGCTGCAGAGTTGCAGTGGGCATCGAAGTCGAGATAGGTAAAATATTTTCTTGCAAATATTCTTACCAATGATGTAATGTCTTGCCTCCATCCCTTTCTTATCATTTTATTTTCAAAGTATTCCACAGCTGTGATCTTATCTTGCTCACACAGGGGTTTGTTTTTTTTTTTTTTTTTTTTTTTTTTTTTTTTTTTTGGTTTTTCTCGGTTTTTCTCCGGTACTGGGAACCGAACTCATGACCTTGCGCTTGCCAGGCAGGCGCTTTTGCCGCTGAGCTAAATCCCCAGCCCCCAGGGGTT